TTAAGCAAGAATGCAAAGCAAAAACTACATTTCATGCAGTTAAGAATGTGGAGGATTATTCAATCCCCGCCACGTCTCACGCGGAGAAGATACGATACCTGCGCGATTCGTCTGGTCGCACTAGCCTCAATTGAACTGTACATACAATATCGTGCCTGCAAAAGAGAGAAACTGCAACAAGCACAATATGCTAACAGCATGTATTTAATGTGATTTCGAAAGTTCGACACACGCAGTGCCGGTGAGTGAATGCATCGCAATGCAAGAATGGAATATGCGTGACAACGCATGCTCAAACACAGAGGTATACAAATATCAAGAAATGTTCATGACAATGTGAGTATGCTCATGAGAATGCAAGATAATGTGCATGATAGTACAAACGAGCATGAAACAGGGTGTTCATTTGTCATGAAACGATGAGTACGGAAAAGCGTGTTTCGGCGAAGGTAACTCAATCGCGGCCTCCGATCTGCTTCCCTGAAAGGTTACAACCCATTCAAAAAGGATACACTTTGATTTCGATGAATGATGATGAGACTCATGTTAGAACTTGAAACCGAAGTCCCAACGGAGTAATTTTGCGACCGGAAGTGTACGTTTCTTGAACTTTTTCAGGTCCCGGGAACTCCGATCTTCCTCAAAATTTGCAGAGAGCTAGGTGAGCATGTGGGGATGATGGCCGGCCGTTTATCTTCCCAAGGGGAGGTGGCCAACCGTTTTCCACAAAAGCTAATGGCTGGCCGGCCATTTCTGCAAAAAGCAGATGGCTGGCCAGCTAGAAATAGGGGCCGGCCGGCCATGCCCTTTTTCCAGCGGCATTTTGGTTTTTTTCCCTCCTTTTGCATGCCTTTTCACCCAAAACTTGAGGCCTATAAATGGCAGCCGAACCTCACTTCATTTCTTGCCTCTTTCAACACTTTTCTCTCCAGATTTGAGTTTCACGCGCGTTTTCCAACGCCCTGCGCAAATTATTTTGGCAAAAACACTCAGTTTTAAGCACTTTGGAGCGATTAAATCTCGACTTTGAAGCTTCTTTTTGCATTTTCACCACTTGAGGTAAGTTTGCCTTAATATTTGGAAGATTTTCCCGGGAGTTGACTTTTGTTGACTTTTTATTTCCCGAGAGTTGACTTTTGTTGACTTTTTCCAATTTTTGCTCATTTTGCTCCCTTTTTGCAGATTCTTGAAAATGGCGGGCAATTCTCCTCACGGTGGAGGTTTTCTAGGTGCCGGGGACGATTTCGATCCTATGACTCTACCTCCGAGGACTCGCCCTTTCATTCCCGAGAGGTACCGTCCGGCAGCGCACGTTCTTCCGCGCGCTGTTTTCCGTCACTTTACCAGTTTTGACGAGCGAGCACCCATGGATCTGCTTCTCAGAGAACCGGAGCAGCATCTCTCTCACGATGCTCGAGAGGTATTTACCTCATCTTCTGTATTTTATATTTCGCACCCTTGCCATGCTTGAACATGCTGTTTAGCTTATGACATAGTACTTTGCTCACATCTTGAACACGTAGCTTCAACACTTGAATTTCTGAACACTCGGTTCATTAATTAATTGCGAACACACCGCTCGAATTCGAAAGTGAACACACAGCCCACACTTTACATTTTCTGAATCACACAGCCCAGATTGAGATAGTGAACACGCAGCCCATAATAGTTGAAGTTTGAACACGCAGCCCAAACTTCGAATTTTCTGAACACGCAGCCCAGATAGATAGTGAACACGCAGCCCACAAATTAACTGAAAGTTGAACACGCAGCCCAAATTCCAAATTTTCTGAACACGCAGCCCAGATAGATAGTGAACACGCAGCCCACAAATTAACTAAAAGTTGAACACGCAGCCCAAATTCCAAATTTTCTGAACACGCAGCCCAGATAGATAGTGAACATGTAGCTTATTTTTACTTCATCGGTATACAGCCCACTTCATCTCATTGGCACACATCCCATTTCTTTCATTGGCACACAGTCCATTTTATCTCATTGGCACACTGCCCATTTCACCTCATTATTGACATATGGATTCATTCTGAATGCAGGCTTGCTCCCGTAGTGTGCGGGGGTATGGTTCTACCATGGCGCGGGATTGGTATGCTGAGCTCCCGGAGGGCGTCAGAGACTTGGTAGATTTGGCAGGATTTGGACTTTCATCTCATTGGCACACAGTCCATTTCATCTCATTGGCACACAGCCCATTTCACCTCATTATTTGACATATGTGTTCATTCTGAATGTAGGCTTGCTCCCGTAGTGTGCGGGGGTATGGTTCTACCATGGCGCGGGATTGGTATGCTGAGCTCCCGGAGGGCGTCAGGGACTTGGTAGATTTGGCAGGATTTGGACCTTCTGTACCGGGTTGTCACGTTGTCCTGCCAGGAGGACACTGATGGCAGCCCTAGTAGAGAGCCCTTCTGTACCGGGTTGTCACGTTGTCCCGCCAAGAGGACACTGATGGCAGCCCTAGTAGAGAGATGGTGGGACACCACCAATTCCTTTCATTTCTCTGCTACTGGGGACATGACCATGACCCCTTTCGACTTTGCTGTATTGACTGGCCTTGACGTCGGAGGTTGGCCCATCCCTTACGACGAGGATATGGGTGAGTGGGAGGCCGCCTGTATGTATCTGCTGGGGGCTCGCCCACCTGTTGATAGGGTCTCAGGGAGAGTCCGATACACTTAGTTCTCTTCCCATTTTCGGCGGGCAGAGATGGTGCCTGAGAGCCCCGAGGAGACGGAGCAGTACGCCCGTGGTTTCCTGATGTTCCTCTTCGGGACTACCCTGTTCGCCGACAGAGGGAACACCATTGGGCTATATTTGCTGAGCGCTCTAGTCGACCTATCACAGGTCCGTAGATATGATTGGGGTGGCGCCGGCCTGGCTACCCTTTATTTTTACATGAGCGCGACCTCCCGCGGGCGGGGCGATTTGCTTGGCGGCTACTGGAGAGCCTGGGAGGTACTTTCTGTCTCCTTGATTTACATTTCTGCTTCTCGATACTTGTACATTGCACACACAGTGCACTTTTACAGTCTGTATTTTGCTCTCAGCATCTCATACTTACATTCTGCACTGCTTTTCCCAGTTATGGGTGTATGTATACTTTCCATCATTAGCTCCTGAGCTGGAGGTGGTAGGGATTCCCGTGACCCCATATTCATTGATATTCGAGGGTCCGCACCAGCCGAGGCCTCGAGAGACCCTCGTTCGCCTGCGACAGTACTTCGACACTGTGCGACACTCAGAGGTACTTCAGAACTTACAGTTCTTTTCATTTTCATCTCTGATTTGCTCTGTATATTCTCGACTTCTGATTGGTTTATGCATTTATCATCCGCAGATTACATGGCAGCCTTGGGCGCCTCTAGGTGATGATCCCCGACTTCAGTATACCGGAGCGTCAGGCATCTCCCAGTATAGGGTCCTGCTCGAAGGGCCAGTTGGCAGAGTCTGGTTCCTGGGGGAGCGCTTTCTGCGCCAGGTACGAGGGTATCTTTCTCAGGATGTTCCCGCAGTACCTCCAGCTAGTATGCGGACCGCTGACGGGCTCTCTTACTCAGAGGTAGTCGGCGCCATGCTGGACAGCGATGCTTTGCTATATGTTGCGGAGGGGGACTACGCCACCTATCGTCATATATATTTGATGCCTCCATTGACAGAAGCTCGTATTCCGATGATGAGACCTGCCGGTATGTCATCCTTGGATCAGGCTCGGGCTCGAGCTACAGACATCCCTTCTTCTAGCCGGGCTGGCACATCTAGAGGTAGGAGTAGACCGTTTCCTCCGACCCCGTCGATTCATCCTCATCTGGGATGGCCAGATATGCCTACTGAGTTGATGGCATGGCAGTATGGGGCTAGCTCTCCGACCCCGATCCCACTAGAGCCTCCGATGCCCAGTGATCGATATGCCATTGACCCGGACTCACCGCCGGTATGCTCCACTTTTCATTCATCATTCAGATGTTTAGACACTCTTCTGTTCACTGATGATTATGAGCTCATTTTTGCAGCCATCGCGAGGGTACATGGAGGAGGTGGTTGGACTGGTGGCCACACTCGAGGGCATGGTTCTGCGGAGGGAGGCACAGTTGTCTGTTGCGGGCATTCAGGTACCCTTCAGTTTTCTGGCATTTATCATACTTCTGATGACATGCTGATTTCTACTGCATCGATAGACCACTTGCGTAGAGCACATCTGACACACACCTCACTTGTACACTGTATTTTCATGCATCCATTTCATGTAGCCTTTGCTTGTATCTGCGTCTGATGTACACATTTGGACTGATGTATTTGAATTGAACTCTTTGTTTTCAGATGCCTTCCTGGTCCGGTCAGCCGCAGGCCAGGCCACCTGGGCCTCATTGGGGAGCTGGGCCATCTGAGCCTTTTCAGGGGGCGGGGTCATCTCGGCCTTCCTGGGGAGCCGGGCCATCTAGGCCTTATCGGGGAGCTCGAGCAGGGCCCGTCCGCAGACGCAGGGCTCATGTTATGGAGGTGGAGCCTGATGAGGAGGAGGAGGAGGAGGAGGAGGAGGCTACCGACCGTCAGTTCGAGACATCTGTTGAGGAGGGAGGCTCCGGTTTTGGCTCAGGGAACAGAGGCGAGGCTGAGGAGGATCCTGAGGATGATAGCTCCGACTCTGATGATGGTGTGGAGGTTGTCCCGCAAAAGAGGACTAGGCGTGCTTCTCGTTCCCGCTCCCGAGGATTTTGATGCTGCTATTTCCTGCTTTATTTTTCTTTTTACTAGTAGTTTGTAGCACTTTGCACATTGCTAGGCATCTTTATTTTTGTAAAACTTGTACCTTTATTTGTTGTAAAGCATGATGAAATGAAATAGCTTTTAGAAAGGTGTTTGTACTTTTAGCATCGTATCGCATCAATTTGTTTCGCATAAGAATGGAATTGAATGGTAATGCGCATTGTGTAATCACCAAGTCAGGTAGTGAACCGACGCAACAAACTAAACAACTCAACTTGCTAAGATATAACAGAATCTTTAGCCAGTTTACAACTCGATAAGCAAAAAGCAACAATGAAAACAAACAAAACTTTAACAAAAATTGCTTAAACAGAGAGCAATGACTTAAAATACAAAACAACGTCCGCTCGACGAACAACTCGATAAGCACAACAACAACTTGATAAGCAAAACTCAACAACAACAAAGTGTACTTCTGACGATCTGGGCATCGGAACGCGTCTGAAATGAAGGCCTTCGACTCTCCTGTTGCATGGAAATGCTTGGAGTTCTCCTTCGAAGAGCAAAACAGGGCCGAGGAGACACACCGAAACGGAGGGAGATAAAGGCCTTTGACTTTCCCGTTGCATGGAAATGCTTGGAACTTTCCCTCGAAGAGTAAAACAGGGCCAAGGGGATACACTAGAGCATTGTTGGCCATCCCTGGGAGCCGGCCGGCCATTTTTGTGGAGAGAGACAGCTGGCCGGCCATTTCTGCAAAAAGTAAATGGCTGGCCAGCCAGAAAAGATGGCTGGCCGGCCATTCAGTCCTACAGCCACCAGATTTTTGACACGTGTCCCCGTGAATAGTGTCTTTCCTTCTATAAAAGCCTCAACTTCGGGAACATTCATTTCATCTTAGTTTTAGACAAAGATGGAGGCGTTTCTCGCAGAAAATATCACATCTTGGATCTCTTCTCTAGATGGCTCGGAAAAGCTGAACTTCCGGGGTTTCGGTTTGAATGCACTATTCACGCAGAGCCGTACTCCGCTACATCTCCCTTTTCTCCATGCCGCGGCAAGGTTCTGGAACCCAATGACGCACGTTTTTAGCTTTGGCGGCCAAGAGATGTGTCCCACTTTCGAAGATTTTCAGGTTTTGATGGAGTCTGAATGCTCTGAAGTGATCTTGCCCCAGCTCCGTTTTGGCCATGCTCAGGCTTTAGGGCGGATAAGGGCACCTCCGACTCCGTCGATTCATCCTCACCTGGATGGCCAGATATGCCACTGAGTTGATGGCGTGGCAGTATGGGGCTAGCTCTCCGACCCGATTCCACTAGAGCCTCCGATGCCCAGTGATCGATACGCCATTGATCCGGACTCACCGCCGGTATGCTCCACTTTTTCATTCATCATTCAGATGTTTAGACACTCTTCTGTTCACTGATGATTATGAGCTCATTTTTGCAGCCATCGCGAGGGTACATGAGGAGGTGGTTGGACTGGTGGCCACACTCGAAGGCATGGTCCTGCGAGGGAGGCACAGTTGTCCGTCAC